GGTTCCAGAGGCTTTCCTGAAGCCCGGGGAGGGCAAAAACTGTCTCCCCTGGCCAGTTGTGGGTTTCAAAAATTTTTAGAACCTCTTCTGTAGGTGTGGCCTGCTTTGTGGGAGTGGCTTGCTGGCCATGTGACTGGGGGAGCGTGGCCAACGTAAAATGTGGTGAAACTCACTTAACAATGTTCTTGCTTAGCAACCAAAATGTTGGCTCAGAAACTCTGGCATTTGAAGCACACAAGTCTTAAAGCTGTCAAGTTACAAGACCTTTGTCTATTGCTATTGCTATTGCTATTGCTTTGCACCCCTAACCCTTTAGAAAAAAAACCCCAGGGGTGTTCAAAATTGACAGCTTTAAGACTTGTGGACTTCAACTCCCAGAATTACTCCTCTCGCTCTTCATCTTGATGATGTGCAGACGGGCAGGGGGGAGGGAGCTGGAACCGGTTCTAAATGGCACTGTAGATTTGTGGAGCCTCTTTTATAGAAGAGGTTAGAACTGGCAGGAACCCACCCCTGCCCCTGGCCCTCCAGAAGGCCGAAAATCAGCTGGCCAGGACATGCATGCGTGCCAGAGCTGACAGCTCCAGTGCCAGCAAATATGGCTCCATGTGGCACTTGTGGCACGTGTGCCATAGGTTTGCCATCACGGTTCTACGAGTTGAAGGCCACACATCATGAAATTATTGACGTTGGAAAACTCTGCTTTACTTCACATTCTTAACTATTTCCTAATCCATAGAGAGAAACAACAAAAATTTGAAGAGCTCTTTTCAGTTACCTATCAACTTAACTGTAGAAGTTCTATTGAAGGACTGGAAATAATGTTGAAAGTTGGAAAAGGATCCGTCAAAATTAAATGACATGGCTTAATAGGTAGAAGACAACTCTATTTTTATGGCAACCTGAAGACTAAAATGCCAGGGGTTTGCACATGTAAGGCACAAACAAGGAACTTAGTCTTTTTAGACATTCTTGATAGATCTAACAATTCCCATCAATGCAGAGTTGTGGAAGAAGGAAATATAGTAGGGCCTTTTTATATTAGCTGTATTATATTATTTGTATTTTTCTGGTGTTTGTGTTATTCATGTAATTGCTTTCCCTCAGCACATTTCCATTTCACTGATTCCCAGTGATGATCAATTGCATTCTTCAACAGCATGAATCCACAGGATCACATGAGAAAAATAATAATCCTTGGGAAGCAGAGAAGTGTGGAAGATGGGGCCTTTTACCAAATTGGAAGTGGCATCCCAACAGGTGGTAAGGCGGAACCAATATACATTGTTATAGAAATTTACATTTTGCCATGTAGTCCCAGGCACTACGTTTTTCCAGATTAACAGTTGTATTCCTTTCATTATAAATAAACTTTGCTTTTTAAGTTATGTAATATGTATGTTATTATATGAGTGATTGTGGTTTGTTTTACTGGACCTATTTTTTTCTTTTTTTCTTGGTTTTTATTGATGTACTAGCCAATAATCTGTTGTTGCCCGGATATTTATTTATAGGGGGAAAATGTCAGGACCAAATGTAATTTCTAATGTCAGATTTCCCCTCTTACCAGAGGGAACACCCTTATGGAGTACTGTGAAGCCGTTACCATGGCAACTCCACTGCGCTGTACAATAGAAGCCACTTTATGGCAGTAGAGTAGAAGTCATTTAAAGCCACAACAGGCTGCATCTTAACAGAACACACACCCCGATGGGTGTTAGGGGTGTCTTACCCCCACAGTATTTGTCTCCAGAGACTAAGTCACCTGTGTACCACGTTTGGTTGAAATCGCTTGAGGGATTTTTCTTTCTTTCTCACCCTTTCCTTTTTCTCAAGGCTGTGTACTTTTTCTGCAAACCTGCTCCCTCAATGGCACATTCCTCCCTTCCCTATGCCCAAGGTCAACTCTGCATTGCCAGTATCAAATGCACACAATTGTTAGCACACTGATATTATGTGATTTAATTTAGATCTGAGGCAGCAACACGAGACCCTAATGAGGAGCCACTTCATGACAGGACACCTACCGCTAATGCGCCAGCATGGAATGCAGACAATTCCTTCACAGTTGGACTCTCGGTTTGTGGAAAGGTACTCCTAGCTAACGGATGAAAGAAAAAAATATTGTCTGTACAGCATAAAGCATGTAGGGCAGAGGTGGGGAATTATGGCCCTTTTATGACTTATGCACTTCAACTCCCATGCTCATGCTGGCTCAGGAATTCTGGGAATTGAAGTTCACAAGGCCATACTTCCCCACTCCTGGTATAGAACAATCTCCTATGCTTTAAGGCAGGGGTGTCAAATTCAAGGCCCATGGGCCGTATCCAGCCCATGAGCTGCTTAAATCTGGCCTGCGGGGCTGCTCTGGAAACAGCCCCAGTGCCTCTGCCAACAAAAACGGAGTTTTGGAAGGGCCACGAGCTCCGTTTTCACTGGCATAGGATTGCAGGAGGCCATCGCAGCCAAAATTTAGCTCAGGAGCCCGTTTTCACTGGCAGAGTGCTCGGACCACCATAGGCACCCCCGACATGAGTGATGTCGAGCTGACCATGCCCCCCTTGCCCCCACCCTAAGGTCAAACATAACTCTGATGTGGCCCTCAGTGAAATCGAGTTTGACACCCCTGCTTTAAGACAAAATTTCAAGGAGAGCTTTCCTTGAATTATGTCCTTCAAATGTATTGGGCAGCAATACAGCCAACAATTCCCAGCCAACATCTTCAATATATCTGAGTTCAACAGAGGTAATTCTTGATTTATGACCATTTGTTTAACTTCTGTGAAGTTATAACAGTGGGGAAAAAAGTGATTTAAGACCGGTCTTGCACTTATAATTGTCGCAGCATTCCTATGATGACATGTTCCAAATTTTGGCACTTGGCAACTGGCCTGTATTTACAGGATCCCAGAGTCATGTGATAGACATTGGCAACCTTCGCAGGGGGCCTTCTGACAAACAAAAGTCAATGAGCTAAGCTGGGTTTGTTTAATAGCCATGGCGAAAAGGTGGTAAAATCGGTTGTGATTCACTTAATGACCACATTGTTTGGTGATGGAAATTCCCATCCCAATTGTGGTCATGAGTTGAGAACTATTTGTAAATTTAAGTTCTGGTCTAGCACTTTTTCCACTACAGACTGTGTTTCTCAACATACTGGCTGGGGAATTCTGGGACTTGACGTTCACACGTATTAAACTTCCCAAGGTTGAAAAATACTGTTATAGATACTCTTTTCTTCCAGAAAAGATTACCTATTGGCTCCACAAGTGTTTCTTTCTCCTGTGAACAGAAGCCATACATAACTGTCAGAACAATTTGGAATATGGTCCCTCATCAGAGAGAGAGGACAAATCAAAACAGTGGGCACAATACAATCTCCATTCCCTTTGGGCATGTGTAATGATGTTGCTCACTCATACCAAAGAGGCAGAATTGACAGCATATGGGTCAGAGGTGGGTTGCTCCTGGTTTGGCCCGGTTCAGCTGAACCAGTAGTGGCAGAGGCGGGAAACTCCACCCACCCACCCAAACGCTTCTGTGCATGCACAGAAGCATTGCACCCGCATGCGCGAACCGGTAGTAAACCAATTAGCAGCCTACTACTGATATGGGGTGCTTTCATATTTTGATCCAAACATCTGATCCTACAGTTCCCGCTGCTCCAACTGGCTGCTTGTCATTGTTATTATTTTTTAATGTTAAACCACTAATATAGATGTTTTGCTTAAGGCTTTAAAATGACTAATCGGCATTTATTCCTTAGCAGGTACATTAAATCCAAATATATTACTAATTTTTAAATTAAGGGTCAGAATTCATTAGAAATATTTCATGAAAATGGTGAGGTGGTTTTTTTATATATATCTACAACTTTTTGTTTCAGAATTCTGAGTACTGTGCATTATAGACTGCTTGCTCTCTTTTACTGATTCATATATAGGAAGTTTCCTTTCCTGAATCTTTTTCTTACACAGAATTTCAGCATTTGCCCATAAGACTTTAACTATATGTCTTGCTTGCTCTCCTAGACATTTGTTACCTGCATCTGAAATCTTGGCACCAGCTGATCTCAGGCAGATTCACGTGGCTTCTGCTCTTGGACCTCCTGCCTCACAACTTGCCAACTACCCAAACTTACTATCTAGTTGTGTTTCCCAAGGACCAGGTAAGAAAGAGCGAGATCATAAGTAACTGAGTACGTAAATAGATAGTCGCAGTAGGAAAACTATTGGTATCAAACCACCCCAAGGCCTGATTCAAATTTCTGATTTGATCCGAATCACTATTTTGAAGAGCTGGGTTGATTGTGTTAAACCGTAAGGGTGTGCATGGGGAAACTTGCACTAAGTCTCTAAATTGATTAAAGGCCCCTGATTTGATTCTGTGCATTAAATAGATAGCAGTAGCAATGCTATACTTATAGACTTATATACTGCTGCATAGTGCTTTACAGCCCTCTCCAAGCTGTAAAGAGTCGGAATATTGCTGTCAGCACTCTTTCATTGAGTAATTAGGAAAGAAAACCACAAGACTCCATTGATAGAAATCAAGTGTACTTTTACTAATTATAAATG